AGCCAGGGAGCCTCACGTGGCCATCCCGAGTTTTAGGGGCATTGGGAGCATCTTCGGAGATATCTTGAACTAGCCTGGGCTATCTGAGCCATCTTGGAAATAATCCTTGGCTCCCTGACGCTGCTCGGGGACCTCTTGGGTGACTCCCGGGTGCTTCTTGGAGCCTTCCTGGGGCCTGTTGGGGCGCTCGTGGAGCTCTCTGGGGGGCCTTTTTGGGGCCTTGGAAAGCTTCTTGGGGCCACTTTGGCGGTGGTCTAAAGAGGGGAGTACTCGATTTCCCTATTCGGAGGCCACGATCCTTGTGAGGGGTGTCAACAATTAGCTCTCGCAAGGGCCGAAAAAGGAGCCTCCGACACCCCGCGACCCTCTCAAATAAACCTTCACCCAAAAAGCTGGTCGGATTTTCTGAGGTATTCGGGATAACACCGGGATGCGACATTGAACTCAAGAAACATCTGCGGGAATCTTTATTGTCGTGGAGGGAAACAACAGTTTGCCATTGGATTCTGGCACCCTGCCCCTTCTCATCATATTTTGTTTCCTTCTCCTTTTGTTGCCCGAAGCAGACGGAAGGGCACCTGTTGCGCGGATGTGTGCCGACCGACAAGCGGAGAGGGGAGGCAAATAGACAAACGATAAACCAACATTTTCGGCCGTAACTTATGGTCAACTTCTGGAAAGCCGCCCCGACCAAAAGAACCGGCAACAAAAACATCGTAAGCGCTCAATGCATCAGCAGGAAGGGAGGCGGAGAAAGAGAAGAGGGAAGGAGGGGGGGATGGGAAGGAAAGGGGAGAGGGGAGAGCGAGGGCACCAGTAAGAGGACAGAGGGGAGGAGCGGGCGAGAAGGAGGAGGAGAGGAAGGAGCCATGCTCTGAGCGGCAACGCGCGACGCGCGCACCCGGCGGTCTCCGGCAAGCGGCCAGGGGAAGAGAGAGGAGGAGGGAGGAGACGGCGGAACGACACGAACAGCCAGGAGAAGAGGAGGGAGGAGCGGGGGGGAGGACGGAGGGGAGGAGAGAAGAACCGCCTCCTCTTCGTACACCCGCTACCTCTGGTGTTCCCATCTTTTTTGTCCAACGGTATCGCAGTCGCTTCAAACTCGTGCTAAATAATTTCCTGCCTCGCCGTGCAGACGCATTTCGTTATCGTGCAGGTCATTGTCGTATTTTCGACATTTCGAATGTGAGCGGGTTCCAATCATTCCACCAGCCCTCTGGGCGCAGGTGGTCTAGAGCGTTTCCTTTTCCAACCTCCTTCCTTTCCCTGCTTGGGAGGTGTACCTCCCCCCCCTTCCCTGGGTCTGGACGGGGGGGGCCGAGGGGTTAGAGCGTCCAAGATGGCCCAAGACAGCTCCAAGAGGGTTTGAGATAGCCCAAGATGGCCTCCAAGATGGCCCAAGATACTTCGAGATGGCTCAATATAGCCTCCGACACGCATCCAAGAGGCCCCAAGACGGCCCCGAAATGGTTTCAAGTGCCCTCCGAGCCCTCCAAGGACCCCGCGAAGAGGCCAAAATGGGTTCAAAGAAGAGGCGCCCAGGACAGCTCCAGACCACTCCAGAACAGGGCCAAGATGAGCCCAAGAGCGGGAGCAGAAGGCCTCCAGAGACCTCCGAGACTTCCCCAGAGGCCTCCAACACACCCCAGGCCCCTGAGAGGCCCCCCGAAAAGCCCCGACGAGGCCACCCAAACAGGCCAAGAGAGCTTCGAGAGCCGTCCCGAGAGAGCCCGAGAAAGGACAATCCATATATACATATATATATATATAAGACAAGCATAATAATTATATGTTTTTCGCCTTCTCACGTTTTCCCGCTTCCAGCGCTCAAAGTCCGAAGAAACTTGAAAAAACAGAACTCCAAATATTTGATAATTTTCAGGTTCAATAAGTACGCCCCCCCCCTCCCGGGGATCCCACGCCTTCCCGGAACATCTGCGGAACACTCCCAGTACTGCGCGTTCCGCAGACTGGGGACTCCCAAGACGCCCAAGGACAGCCCAAGACGACCCCAAGAAGCTTCCAGAACGCAAAAGAACGGCCCAAGTTGCTTCCACGCAACCAAAGATAGCCTTCGGTCGGCTCTTCAGGCTCCCAGAAAGCCTCCAAGAGACCTCAAAGACCGAGGAACTTGAACAAAAAATGAATTCCAGCTATTCCATTTTTTCAAGTTGGGACTCCTACTTCCTACTTATCCTCTTCCTCGAGCCCCATCAAGACTTCGGGGTCACATGCACAGATTTTTCGGGAATGCTGTTGAACTCTCTAACGCTGTCTTGGCACTCTCTGAGATCGTCTTCGTGTCCTCTTGGCTGCCCCTGAAATCTCCGTAGAAATCGAGACAACATGAGTTGAACCACATAATCTTATAACTCCTTTTGTAATATCGACCCATGTTTATTTTTGCGCGGAGACAACGAGAGGCATCCCAACATACCGTGGCCTGCGTCCTGAAAACTTCTAACCCACAGCCCAGGCACGGCAACTTGAACAAAATGGTGAAACCCACATTGCCCTTTCTTTTTCAAGTTCGCCCCCCTGTCTACTCTTGCGCAACATACCACACCTAAGGCGCCCCTCAACTCCCAGAAAAGAACCCAAGAAATCTTCGAAGGCCTCAAATCGTTGAATACCGAACGGAATTCATGATTTCTGCGTTTCTGCAGTTCCCCTTCTATACGATTCCGAGGCTTGCGCAGGGCCTCCAAGAAAGTGCCTGGATGCAAGAAACGACAAAAGTTATATTCCATGAGTCAGCCCATCGAGTCTAGCTAGAACTTGAGGGCGCGCAACGCGCGCGCGATGGTTCTAGTACATAGATAAATATAATTATACATGGTATACCTATACATGAACATGTACTAATTTACGACTATATAAACTTACACATGTACGCACACGGAATGCCACACACATGGCGATTGTATACATCATTAGGGTTCTACTGGGCGGCGGCATCGAGCCGGGATAGCGCAACGATTTCCACCATCGCCAGATGTTGCATAGCTGTCTAAATATGATTCGCTGCGTTCATGACAATATCTAGTTTGACGTGGGGCCGCCGCTTGTAATCACCCAAGCTTCCGACGCAGACGACGCGCAGAGTGCATCATAACAACATGCAAACTTACACAACATACTGGCGTCATAATCCACTAAACCAAACCACGGTAGCGAACCACACTGACACAAAACATGATGACATATGGCAGAACATACAGACGTGGCCAAGGAATATACGCTGGTGGGTTACGGCTACGGCTGCAGCGAAACCCCTTGTGGAAACAATGCCACTTGCCCAGGCCCTGTCCAAGCGCCGTGCACCCGCATCCCCCTCTCCTCTCCCTGCCCCTCCTCCTCATCATCCTCATACTTCCCTGTTCCCCCCCACTCCTGCTCATTCTCCTATTGCTCCCTCTCCTCCTCACACTCTTCCCCCCTCCTCCCTGAGAGATGCGATCGGTGACCGCTGTGTCAATGGCCCCCCCAATGAGGTATCAGGATCTCAGAGAGAGCGTGATCCACCGCCGCTTTACTGTGGAAAATTGCCAACCTTTTCCTCCGGAACCCGGGGGTCTCCCCCGCCCCCCCCCCCCTCCGAAAATCCCCCCCCCCCCTCCCCCCCTGCTGGAACCCCCCCCCGGCAAAACCCCCCCCTCCCCTAACCCCCCCTCCCCCCCCCCCCCCCCTCCCCCTCGAAAACCGGGGGGGGTCACTACTGGTTCGAACCCCCCCCCCCATCCGGATCCGGAAAACCATGGGGGGGTCACTACCAGTTGGAATCCCCCCCCCTCGAAAACCGGAGGGGTCACTACCGGTTCGACCCCCCCCCGCCCCCCCCCACGCACCGCCAGCAAACGACTCCCGGTCCCTACCACCGCTCGCATCACATCCCCCACTGTTGTTCCCAGCACCACTGTCCTCACCACCACTGTCCCCACTGGTTCCACCACCGTCCCTATTGTCCCCACCAGTGCCCCCACCACTGTCGCACTGTCCCCACTGTTCCCACCACTGTTCCCACGGTTCCACTCTCCCCACTGTCTCCACGGACCCAACCACTGCCTATCCCCACTGTCCCCACTGTCCCACTGACTCCTCCGCTGTCCCACTGAGCTGTCCCACTGTTCCCACCACTGTCCCCACTGTCCCCACCACTGTCCCCACTGTACCTCTGTCCCATTGTCCCACCGCCGTCCTCGCCACCGCCTTTACCACTGTCCCCACCACCATTGTACCCTCCACTGTCCCACTGTTTCCACCTCATTCCCACTGTCCCCACACCACTGTCCCCACCACCACCGTCCCCACCACTGTCCACTGTCCCCCCTGTTCCCACCATTGTCCCCACCACTGTCCCCACCACTACCGTCCCCACCACTGTCCCACTGTCCCACTGTCCCCACCACTGTCCCGCTGTCCCCTCACCACTGTCCCCACCAACACCGTCCCCACCACTGTCCGCACCCCCACTCGGTTTTCGAGGGGGGGGGGGTTCGAACCGGTAGTGACCCCCCCTTTTCATGATGAATTGGGGGGGGGGGAGGGGTTCGAACCGGTAGTGACCCCCCCCCGGTTTTCCGGAGGGGGGGGGGGAGGGGTTCGAACCGGTAGTGACCCCCCCCCGGTTTTCCGCCAGCAGCGGTAGAACACGCTCTTTCGGATCTCAGAATGGCATGAAGGCAACGTCGCATCTGAGTTGTGCCCCCCCCGCACGAGGAGAAAGCACGGAGCAGCACAGGAGCGAAGGATAAAGGATCACAACATGATGGAACAACGAGGCGACAGAAAACCTACCAACATTAGAGGACAAATAACTATGCACATACACCGATGATGGCCAGGCCCATCCTGAGCCCAGGATCGGTGCATACACACCCTCCTGCCTTGGCCAGGAAGGCGTATGCACTGATCCTGGGTCAAGGATGGGCTTTGCCGGGATCGGTGCATGTGCATAGCTCGCCTCGCCCGAGACATGCTGGATGCGTGAACCTGCGTTTCGACCAATCGCTTTTGCATTGAGCATCGCGCACTCACGCGCGTGGTCAGTCGAGATGTCGAACATTGCGCGCGTTGGCTACCTGGTCGATCCCTAGGATCTGCAACCCGTGGGCGCATTGACTACGTAGGATACACAAGCTCAAGCAACGTGTAAACGTCCGTAGCGTGAGCTGGGGTCGCGGGGAAAACAGTCAGGCACTTGCAGTGCAATCGGCCGAAACCATCCCGGCGCCCGAAGCGGCCGCTACCCGGTCTTTGCTCTAGGCAGTCACGGCTTCGCCTCTCGGCGTGGGGCGAGCAAAGCATGAATAGTCTCCGGTCCTCCTCCTCCTCCTCCTCCTTCTCCTCCTCCTCCTCCTCCTCCTCCTCCTCCTCATGGTCCCCCGCTTCCTGCTGACCCGGCTAATGTGCCGACCGCTGCTCTTTGACCTAGCTGCTGTCCCTTTCCTCGTGTGCCTCACAATGCCATTGTGCCAACGTTCGCCGCCGCCCGATTCGTGTTTAGCTATTTTCCGCGATCGCGGCCGTCGCTGGCCCGGGCCCCGCCCCCCAAGACGTCGCGTTCCGCGCCGGGGGCGTCCAGTAATGCCAACGTCAAGTAAAACCAACACGTAGGTGCCGATATGCACCACAGCGCCTGTATACACCACAGTGCTCGCGTGCACCACAGCGCGGGTGCACACCAGAGCGAATGTGTACACCGCAGCGCCTGTGTGAACCACAGTGCCTGCGTGCATCACAGCGATTGCTTGCACCGCGCGCGTCCACAGGACAGGTAGAAGAAACACCACGGTGTCATGCCACAGCGCCCCCATGCCACATCGCCTCCCGCTGCATTGCCCCCACAATGCCCCACGCTTCAACCGAACTCCTTCACGAAAACGCCGCCATTAATTTTGTGCGCGTCCCGATACCCAAAGCACGGCGGCACCTCCTCTTCCTCCTCTTCCTCCTCCTCGGGAGGATTCGTCGATTCCAGCAGCAAAAACACTGTTTTCGATGGAGCCCTCAAGCGCTTCATTTTGTCATCGGGATTCTTTTAATTCTATATGCAACAATGGTGTTCTGTGCGCACGGTTGCTGTAGTGCACGCGAGCGCCGTGGTGTACACAAGCGCTGTGGTGCACGCGGGCGCTGTGGTGTACACTGGTGTTGTGTTGCGCACGGCTGCTGTGGTGTACCCAGGCGCTGTGGTGCACGCAGGCATTGTGGTTGTGGTTTACACAAACGCTGTGGTACAGATCGCCACCAACATGCTGCTCCTACCCGTCCTCGGTCAATTCTAAACAATCCCAGACGCAGCCGGCACGAAACGTAATGTCACCGGCCCTTCCTTCCCTCCCAATGACGGCTGTAATCGCCCCGGCATAAAGAAACCAGCACCCGTGGAAAAATATATACAATCAGTGTGAACCGCCGCGCTTGGATTCGCCATTGTTTATTAACGCGAGGCGTATGGTACTCCTTTTTAAACTTATCTTGCCGATGCACCGTCTAGGCGTGGCCTTATATCATTCAGTCCTCCCGTACATAATGACCTCATGCTCCTACTGCTGCTCCTCCTGCCGCGCAGTGGTCCGCAACCGCTATTGCGCGCGTCGTGTCGGTACTGTCCAGGATGTCGGTTGACGCGCCTTCGTTGTCAACAAATCGCTTCGCATGCAACACCTCTGGCAAACTGATACGTTGCAAATGCGGTCGCATCGCGCGCATATCCTGTCCATGCGTCCCTGTTTTCCAAAAAAGAATTGAGTGGATGGGTCAGCCTGACAGGCTGGGGTGCGCCGCGGCAGCTGTCGCGCGGGCGACGGCGGTCGCGCTCGCACCGTCGGCGCCGCGCCGCGGAGCCGTTGCCGCCGCGGCCTGCGAGCTTGGGAGGCTCGGGCAGCCGCCCCGCCTTACCTTTCGGCTTTGGGCCGCATGCGCCCGGGGGCGGTGCTTGGCGGGCGCCCTGCGCGGAATGATGCTCGGCCCCCACTTCGAGCAGGTCGCGCGCCGGCCCGCCTCTCCGGCGACTGGGCGGGGCGTCTGGCTGCTGCTGGACTCCGACTGCCCGTGATTGCGCCGCGGCATCAGGTCGGGGCCGAGCACGCGGCCCGCGACCAGGGCGCGGCGCGTCATCCTGCAGCCGCCAGGGGCGGCGCGCTGGACTTTCGCGCGGCCGCGGGATGCGCGGCGCGGCTAGGCGCCCCTGCGTGGGCATTCGGGGCGCGCGGTGTCCCTGGCTGGCGCGGGATGGGCCTTTGGGCCGTGCGGCGGCGCTAGGTTTGCCCGAGCCAGCTCCGCCGTCGCCCAGAGAGGGCCGCAGGGCGTTCCGAGCCTGAGCGCGGCCTGGAGGGGGTCGCAACCCCGGTCGCGACAGTAGCGGCGTCGCTGCGCGGAGTGGGAGCGACCGCCAGCGAAACGCCGCAGCCCGGCGAGGCGCCCGCGCCGAACGAACCTTGCGCTGATATTCTCGTGGCGTAAAGCACTGGCGGCGCAACTGGCGCCCCTGGCGGGCTCGGCGCCATCCTGGGCGGCCGCTGCGGCCTCTCGGCGGGCGCCCGTGGACGCGGGGCAGCAGCCTCCGCCCGCCCCGTTGGCTGGGCCCCGCTGGCCACGTGGAGCATGCTGCGCTCCTCGCGGCGCCCCCCTCCATGGGCCGACCGCCACGCGCGTCCGCCGCTGTCCTTTCTGCGAAGTATGCGCCGAACAATGCGACGTATCAGGGGCCTCGCGCGTCGCCTGCGCGCTCGCCGCGACGGCGCCCCCTTGGGGGATGTCGCCATCTCCGAGCGCCGAAGCTTAGGATGAGCTTCTTGTTCTGGCTGTAGCCCCGCGCGAACAGCGAGCTCCTGCGACCGCCTCTTGGCGCCGATCTACCGCCTCCTGGTGCCCCTCCGGCCAGGGGGCGCGCTCGGCCGCGCGATCTAGCCTCGTCCCCGTGCGCGCGCGCGGCGAGCGAGCATGCGATCGCTGCTCTCCGACCTACCAACCGACGTTGATGCCATGGCAATAGCACTGCGCTCCGGCTCGCCCGGCGCGCCTGCCCGTCGCAGTCCGGGAGTGATGGCGGCCATCCTGCGCCTCCCAGTTTGTGCGCGCGGCGGCGTAAAGCGACGGCCGCGCGAGCGTGGTCGCGAGGGGCCGCGCCCGGCGGGCTTCGGCCTCTGGGGGGCATTGGGCGCGCGCTTCGACCTGCGGCGGAACGGCGGCCTCGTTGGGCTCCTCTGCAGGGCGGAAGAGGCGCGAGGCGCGAGGCGATGCGCGCTCGTCGGGGCGCTGGAGGCACGCGGGGCGCCCGCGGCCGTGCCGTGGCCAGGCTGGCCGCCGGAGCGGCGTCGTTGGCGCCTGATCCTCGACGCTCTGAGGCCGCGACTCTGCTCCCAGACAGCCCGCGCGGGCATCGAGCTCTTTTCCATGCGCCAGCGGCCGAGCTGGCCGAGGCTGAAGGCGAGGGCATCTCGGCGTTCGCTGGCGCCGCATCTGCGGGCCGCTAAATGCCGCCCTTCGGAGCCGCGCGGCGATGGCGACGGCCGGGGCGCCCCCTGCTGCCTCGAGGTGCATCCTGGGGGCCAAGTTTTGCGCCCCCATCACGCGGGAGTGCGGGCCGGCGCCTCGATCCACCCGCGTCGGCGATGTGTTGCGCGAGGCAGCGGCCAAGCTTTTCGCCTTCGACGAGCGTGGCGGCGCCGATGTCATGTTTCTTTCTTCGCATGGAAATTGCATGGCATGATGGCGCGACTTGACTGGTGCCACGCGGGGCATCCTCGGGCCCATCTGCCGAGTGGCGAGATCGTGGAAGTATCCCGGGGGCTCGCGGCAGAGCGGCCCCTCTGGCGGCCCGCTGGCCAGCGTTCCCCTTGTGGGCGCGGTCGAAACATTATGTTTCTAGAACCGAACTGAACTGGTCAAACCGAAACGGCCGAGCGGTTTCTCTGCGCGAACCGAACCGAACCGGCTTCGTTTCGCAAACGGAACACCTAATTGATCGTTTGCGCTCCCCTCTCCTCCTGCTCCTTCCCCCGATGCCCCCCCGTCGTCCGGGGGGCCTGGCCTGGAGAGAGCAGCCGGGTGCCCCCGCGCCCCCCCTCCCCGCGGGGCACTTCTACAGGGGGCAAATGCCCCTCTAGGATATGGAAACCGACCCGATCAGCCAGACGGAACCGCTTCGAGCGCTGGCTCCCGCCCGCGCCGGGCCCCGGGCGCCGCCGCGCCCGCCGCCCCCGCGCGGCCCCGAGCAGGCGCGCGCCGAACTGGCAGGGACCGCCGAATCACGCGGGAAGGTTCGCGACGCTGGAAGCGCTTGGCCTGCTGAGCCGAGCCGAACTGGCGCTTTCGCGTCGAAGGCGCGGGGGCAGATCTTGCCGCGCAGGGGCGCGCAGGGGGGGCTCTTCGACGCGCGGCACCTGCGCGACGGTCGGCGCTTCTGCGACGAGGGCGACGTCAACGCCGCCCCGCGCGCGCTTGGCGCGTGGTTCGCGGCCGTCGACGTCGAGCGCAGCTCTTGGCCCAGGGCCAAAAGCGTGGCGCACTGGCGAAGTTCCATGCCCAGTATGGCCCCCCTGCGCGGTGGACGCGCGTGCGACGGCGGACGCGATGGCGCGGCTCGCGCAGGCGTTGGGGGGGGTGCCGACGCGCGCGACGAGGCGCCCGCCGCCGTGGTCAAGCAACTCCGCCAACGCCGCCGGAAGTCTTCGCTGTCCACGAACGGGTCCTGGACCTGGAGGGCGCGCCCTTTGAGTTTGCGTGGGCATCTGTAGGGTCTCGCATCTGCCGCAATGAATCATTTCGCCCCGCATCTCCGCCGAGAGTTCGGCGGCGTCGTGATGGCCGCGCTGAAGCGGGCCCATGGGCGCGACTGTTCTTCCCCCTCAATCGGCTACTGAAGAGCCAGGCTGGGCTCGGCCTCGCCTCGGCGGGAGCGGCTCGCCAGGGTGGCGGGTGACTTCGCGGCGTCCCGCAGCTCGCGGCGACGCGATGGGCCACGCGCGGCGCGCCCTGCCCCCCCGAGTGGGGGGGGGCGCCCGCCAGGCGCAGGTCGACGACCTTATCGCCCCAGCCGAAAAAGAGGCGGCGACGCGGTTCTCCGCCGCCCGGTCGGGCCACGCTGCGCCAGCGACCGCGTTCGCGGCTGGGGCCGATGCCGGCGCCGTCCGAAAGGTAGGGGCTGAGGATCAAGGGGCGGCCGACAGATCCCGCCTCCAGGGCGTGTTGTCCCTCGCGGGAGACGCGGCTGAATCGCATGTACCTGCAGTCGTGCGTTTGGGGGGATGCCACTCGGGGCCGCTGGGCCACTGCTGCGCGTGCCAACGCGTGCGCCCGCTGGCTGCCCGTGGGCGACCCAAATGCCACCCCGGAGCCTCTGGGACTCTAGGTCTAGGCCTCGTGCCCTGTGAATTGCTGCGCCCAGCTGGCGTCTTCACGTCGGCTGCCCACGGCAGCCTCTGCACAGCGATGGCTCGCCGGTGGCTTCAGGCGTGCGCGCCATTTCCTCGACGAGCTGCGACAGCGTGGCGCGCCGCACCAGCCGATGTTGGAGCTGCCACGAGATTGCCCACGTGGAGGCCGCGGACACGCTGTCAGCAGAGCCTCGCCCGCGCGGCGGCGCTTCGCCAAAGCATCCTGGACCGGCGGCCGCTGCTGCTGTGCCACGCGCGCCGCAAGAACTCTAGCAGCGCCTCGTGGGCCAGCTCCACCGCTGCCTGCCCGGGGAGCCGCCGCCAGAGGGCGCGGCGCTTCCCGACGTCCCGCCCCGGACGCAGCGGAGCTCGCCAGCGAGGGCGGCCGCCCCGGCGCGGGGGAACTCGGCGAAGAGAGCGGCGAGGGCGGCAGCGCGGGTGGCACGGCAGCAGGGCTTGAGGCTGGCGCGGCCGAGGGCGACGCCGAGCTCTTGGTCGCGTTCCCGGGACTCGCTGGCGCGGCCGCTTTTGCTGGGGCGCGGGCGGCGCGCAACACCTTTTGCTGGAGGCGCTGGACGACGCCGCGTAATCCGGCGCAACCAAGCCTGCAGGCCACGTGGCGCTGGCCAGCGCAACCTGCACGTGTGGCGCTGGGGGTGCGGTGGCTAGCCTTCAGTCGGGCCCGTCCCTCCACAGGAGGAGTATTCAAAAATAGTAACAACGTATAATGCGGAGACTATGTTTTGAATATTCTTTGGCCATTTTGGGGCATTTTTGGAATATGTTCCATTCTTCGCCGAACATTCCCCTGTAGGGGGGCACGCCCGACTTAAGGCTATAGCCTAGCAGCCGCGGCAGCGGAGGCCGATGCTGGCGGCGCGCCAGCCGAGGGCCTCGGGGCTCGCAGGAGGGCCCTGCGGCTCGAGTGCGGACGCAGGTCCTGAGGCTCACGACCGGGACTGGAGGCGCCCTGGGACACACAAGTTATCCTGGCAAAGCAACCTAACAGCGATGTGTATAAGCATATCTGGAAGCATTCCCCTGAAGATTCAGGTGAGAATCCAGTTGTAGAATTCTGCTGTTCTCGCAGTCGCAGTCGCATTCGCAATGACAGTCGCAGTGGCAACGGCCTTAGGATCCAATGGAATCCTAAGGGACACACAAGGAATAATAAGGCGCCCTGGGACACACAAATAAATACACACAAATAAAAGGGTTCCCCAGATTTTCCCACATGCTCTGGGTTTTTGTCTTCCCCCCCCCCACATCCAATATTTTCCCACATTTTCCTGGGGGTCGACTATTGCTTGTGTCTGTGTGGTTTTCCCCTCCTGAGGGACCTCGGCTGCGCCTCCTGAACCAAGCTGTTGTGTAGAAAGTTGCCTATGCAGAAGCCACACGCCGATCATCCCAATAAGAACGTAGCCTTGAGATAGTGAGAGTACTCTGTGTGGACGTGTTGTGATATGTGGACGTGCTGTGATATGTGCAGCAAGGCGTATGCCGGGTAAGGATGCGAAGGGCCATGATCAGAAAACTCCAACGCTCAATGGAAGTAAGACGACTATGAACATACAAGCACGTCACAATGCTAATTGCCCAAAGGGGAGAAGATCGAACGTCATCCTAATCCATCATACTTGCTCCGACGCCATCTGGGATCCACTGCCCTGGGCTTCTCGAGAACATGCGCTTCCGCACAAGCAAACCTGCTCTCCCGTCATATGGACAGCTCGTGAAACGTGGTCCTCACTACCGACGAAGCGACAACCTTATAAACGGGCCACTCTGGACGGCCTTCGATGATGCACTTAACGAGGCGATCGCCGCGTGGACAAACCCTCTCTCTTCAATGTTAACGGGCATCCCAAGACCGACCATGACACCGACTCGTCCTCCTCGTCGTTTCCTTCCCACTGCCGCCTCGCAGCTTCCCAGCACCCCTCGCACAGGGGAGGGGGAATGGGACGAGAAATGAGACGAAGAAAGTGTGGTAAAAGAGGCGAGGTGTGGACAAAAAAGAGGGTGGGGGGGGCAACAGGAAACGAACCGTCAACGACCCCCCCCCCCCCTCTTCGAAACGGAGGAGGGCCGCGCGTAGCGTGGGGATGCTACGGGTAGTGACCTGCCAACGACCACGGCCCCCCTCCCCCTCCTCGAGACTGAGGATAGCCGCGCGTAGCGTGCCCGACGGTGCCAGGCGCGATCATGCCTCGGCGGTCGGATAACACGTGCATCTGCCCGCCGGCGCCCTTGTTGGAGGCCCTGGCGCACAGAAAGGTCGAGTGTGACAAGGACGGGGGGGACGAGGATGAGGAGGAGGAGAAGGAACACAAGGAGGTCGTCGTCGATGTCGTCGTGCTGATCCCAATGGTCTGGACGGGAAGGCGTGGGGGGGGGGGCAGGAAGAGGCATGGATAGGGGGAAGTGAGGAGGAGGAGGGGAGGATGATGATGATGATGATGATGAGGAGGAAGAGGAGGAGGAGGAGGAGGAAGAGGAAAACCACGAACCGCCAAACGATTGAGGCGTATCATTGGCAGTGCGCCGACCGAACGGCCAGGCGAACCACTGTTCACATCTCGCATTACATTCCCTATTATTCTGTTCCACTGATGACCCGGGATGTTAACACCCCCTCGCCTGAAGTTTACATTCGTTTTAACAGGACTCGTAAACTAACGCCAAGCCCGTAAATTCTCAAAGTTCACGGGCGCGTGCGACCAGGCATTTGGTTCCCGAACTCGTGCAATCTTTTCGATTGAGAGCTGACGACTTGTGCGACTTATTTGCTTGGGAACCGGCGACATGTGCATGTGTTTGTTTTGGTTTTGTCGGGTTGGGCTCGGTTTTTGAACTTGTGCAACTCGTTCGATTGAGGTTTGACGAGTTGCGCAGCTTGTTTTCAATGGGAAACGACGAAGTGTGCAACCATTTGTCGTTTTGTCGGGACGGGCTCGGTTCTCGAACTTGTACCACCAATCTAACTGAGATCTGACGCCGTGCGAAGATTTTTCATGGGGAGCCGATGAGTTGTGCAACCTTGTTCGTTCTGTCGGACCGGGCTCGGTTTTTGAACATGAGCAACTTTTTTGATTGAGAATGGACGACTTGTGCAGCCTTTTGGCTCGGGAACCGACGATTTGTGTTAGTTTTGTCGGCAAGGGCTCGTTTTGCGGAGTCGTGCACTTTTTGACTGAGAACTAGCGAGGTGTGCAATTTTTTATTGGAAACTGACGAGCTGTGCAACTTTGTCGTTTTGTCGGGTCGGGTTCGGTTTTCAAATTGTGCAACTTTGAAGATTGACGACTTGTGCAACTTTTTTGGTTGGGAACCGACGAATTGTGCAACCGTTTCGTTTCGTCGGGCCGGGTTCGGTGTTCGAGCTTGTGCAACATTTCTGATTGAGTACAGACGACATGTGCAATTCATTTTGGTTTGGGACTGACGAGATGTGCAACCTTTTTCGTTTGTCGGGTCGTGATCGGTTTTCGAACATCTGCAGCTTGTCTCATTGAGAAGTGATGACATGTGAAGCTGTTCTGCCCGATAGCCGACGGATTGTGCAGCGTTTTCGTTGTGCCCGATCGGGCTAGGTTTTGGAACTTTTGCAACCGTGGAGAACTGGAAACTTGCGCAGCTGCTTTTTGTTTGGGACCGACGAGTTGTGTAATTTCCCTCGTCTCCAGGTCCGGCTCGGCTTCCGACCTTGCGCAACCTTTTTGAATTAACTGGGCTGCTTGTGCAGCTTTTTTGGGGTACGACGAGTTGGACGACCTTTTCGGTCTTGTCGGGCCGGGCTCGGTTCTCGAACTGGTGCAACCATTTTGGATGAGAACTGACGACTTATATGGCTTTGGGGCTCGGGAGCAGACGATTCGCGCAACCGTTCTCGTTTTGTCGATTCGGGCTCGGTTCTCGAACTTGCGCAGCCTCATGATCGATGGGTGACGATTTGTGCAGCTTTGTGGATTGGGAAGCGAAGATACGTGCAACCTTTTCTTGAACTCAACGCTCCACCTCTGTATGCAGACGAAGTAAAGCAGCGGCGCGAGAGGGGCGTGCAGCTGCGCCTCGATGAGGGCGAGGCCACCTCTGATGCGTTGACCTTCGATGACGACTTGACCACACCCCACGCCCAGCACCGCCCAGCGCAAGCCCACGAGCGGGAGCCACATACAATACCAGGAAGCCGTCGGCCACATACAATACCAGGAAGCACCCGATTCGCAGAAAAGGTCACTGCATGACGCGGTGAACAGTACCAAACACAAAATGAAGAATTCAGCGTGAAAGCCAAGCATACTTTATAGAGTCACCAGAAAAGCCGTCCTTCGCCTGGATCTGGAGGAAGCCCGGAAGGCACCCACAGCGGACGACCAGAATCGACATCGGGAAGGTTCAGCGCTGCAGAGGCCCTCGCCACGGCCTCCCGCTGGGCCCCCACGGCCCTAGGCGAAGCACGTGCGGCCTCCAGCGCCTCATACTTCAGCACCTCTGCCTCCAGGAGCTCGTCCAAGGTGCTGCAACAGCCCCCTTCCGCCGCAGGTCCTGGGCCAGCCAGCAGATCTGGAAGTCCATCAGCACGAAGCGGCTCCCTAGGAAGAAAAGCACGAACAGGAACCCCACCTCCCTGGCGCAGCCATTCGACAGGACAAAGGCCCAGTGACGGCGCCGAAGTAAAAGACGACTTGCGACCAGCTGCGAAAAACTCGGGGGTGATCACCTTAGACGGCACGTCGCAAGCAGGGCCGACATCATGCTCCTCGCCGCCGTCGCCAGCGCACGCCAAGGAGGTGCCCTCGACGGCCTCGGTCAACCCCGACTCCGAATAGCCAAGCACACCAGGCAGCGGCAAAAATTCCCAACGCGTGCCGAGCGGGCCACAAGGGAAGAACTCCGCAGCGTCCGCGTTGAACGTGAAGCTCTCTGCCTCCGCACGGGCCTCCAGCCTGACCCCATATTTCTGCAGGCGCCGCAACTGCTCGATCGTCGCAGTCGACACTCGTACACCGCGAGCGTCGGAATGCAGGGCAACGTTCCTTCTCACAGCTAGCGCCGCAGACGGCACGCGCCCTGCTAGCTTCTCCCCCAAGGCCGGCGCCAGTGCGACGATGCGATCGGCCAGCTCCGCGCACCCGAAGATGGTGGTGAGGCCACCAATGATCGCCTCGAAGTCCGCCCTGCGCCCGCCTGAGCTCGTCGGAGAGCTTGATGATCGCACGATCGGCAGACTGCCTAGCCCACAGCTTCCCTGCCTTGCGGTCCTCGGGGCTGCGGCGAATTGGGCGTGCATCTCCACACCCTCCCGTCGCCATGGCTGCGCCCGAGCGAAGGGCCCGCCGTTTGGCTATCGCCAGAGGCAGACCCTTGAACCCGCGCGGGAGCTGGCTTGAGCCAAAATGGCTTGAGCCAAAATGGCAACGGAGACGTGCAACCTTTTCTCAGTTGTCGGGCCGAACTAGATTGTCGACCTTGTGCAACCGTTTGAATGGAGAACAGACGCGTTGTGCAACTTCTTTGGATTCGGCGACGACGAGATGTGCAACCCTTCTCATTTTGTCGGGTCGGGCTCGGGCGTTTTGTTGACTTTGGATTGGGACCGACAAGCTGTGCAACTTTGTCGTTTCGTCGGGTTGGGCTTGGTGTTCGGACTTGTGCAACTTCTTTGATTTGGGAATGACGACGTGTGCGGTTTTTAATGATGGGAGCCGACGAGTTGTGCAACCTTGTTGTTTCGTCGGGTTGGGCTCGGTTTTCGAATGTGTGCAACCTTTTTTGACTGTGAACCGACGGCCTGGGCAGCTTCTGTTGATTGGGCACTTACGAGATGTGCAACCTTTTTCGTTTCGTCGGGTCGGGCCCGGCTTCTGGACTTGTGCAACTTGCTAACTCGTGCATTTACTTTCGATTGGGAACCGACGACTTGTGCCACCTTTGTCGTTTTGTCGGGCTTGGCTCATTTGTCGAACTTGTGTAACCATGTTGACTCATGAAGTCTTGACGAAGCACAGAGATTGCACAACTCGTCAACTCCCAACCACAAGCTCCCAATCTCAAAAACCGCACAACACGTCATCTTGAACTCAAAAAGATTGGACAAGACCGGAAACCGAACCCAACCCGACGAAACGACAGAAGTTGTGCAAGCTTGAGCTCCCAAAGGGAGGAAGAACACACGCATACACACATACACGTATGCATGCATATATGAAGGGAGAGAGAGAGAGAGAGAGAGAGAGAGAGACAAAAAAAAAGAGAGCAGGGCACGGGCAAGAGCGCAGAGGAGAGGATCAGTAGAGCCCGCGCAGCCCTGGGGGGCCAGGACGGCTGAGCGTTTGGCCACACGTCCACGAGCACGGCCCGAGAACGCAGGAGCCCCACTCGGGGTGCGGGGCAAAGGAAGCAGGATGATAGGTGCGTCCCCCCGCCAATCTCGGCGCACCCCTCACGAGGATCGTGGCCCCATAGGGAGCTCCACCGAAGGCCCCAGCGGCAAGGTTTGCATGCGTCTCCCCGCCCATTTCGGCGCACCCGTCACGAGGGATCGTGGCCCCATAGGGAGCTCCACCGAAGGCTAATGATGATAGAAAGCATGATGATTGGTGGCCTTCGAGGTCGGGCTCGCGGAGTGGAAAGGGCATGAACCAAACACACATGATGTGAGGCTCCGCGGCCTCCCTGGAGGCGGGGCTTGTGGAGCGGGAAGGGCACCGCCCCTGACAACAACTTGTAACTGTATGCATGGCGGCGCTCCCGCGCGGCCTTCCTGGAAGCGGGGCTCGTGGAGTGAGAAGGGCAGGATCCCGAGCACGAAACCATGGCCAGATAACAAGTGGCGACGCTCCCGCGCGATGCCCCTGAAGGTGGGGTTCGTGGAGTGGGACGGTAACAACCTTTGGCAACAAACATGGTGTGACGATAGGTGGCGCCACTTTCATCCATGCGCGGTCTGCCTTGAGGCGGAACTCGTGGGGTGGGAACGGCATGATCCCAGACACGAGACACGGCGTGATGACAGGTGGCGGCACTCCCGCGCGGCAACTCGGGAAGAGGGATTCTCGGAGTGGGATTGGCAGGCTCCCGGGGCTCGCTGGGAAGTCCATGCGGGACGAGGAGGGAATGAGGAGGAGACACGACCCGCATTCAGGATGTGGGGAACGTAGATCATCGATCCTCCTCATTCTCCTACCACATGTGTGGCAGGACTGTTGACGGTCGTATCTGCAAGCATGCGAGCATGCGTGGTGTGCTCGCAATGCTGACAGTCTGCGCCCTGAGACGCAAGCGCAATGCCAAATCCGATTCGATCCTTCTCCTCCTCTCGGGTCGGACGAATGGGAAAAGCGCGAACCAACTCCCGTAGCCGGGTTTCTCTGCGCAGGAGGCGCTCATATATCGAGGAAGGCGCTGGGCACAAGGGCCGAAACCGGGTGATTTCGCACCTCCCCCTTTCTCTAGGCCACACCACTTTTGTCCAACCCGACCCTCCTGGGCCCACCAATCCTGAGGCCCCCTCGGGGACGCACTGACCCGGGTTAATGCATACACGGGCCAATCGGGCCTTGCAGAATCCTGCAAGATCCTGCACGCTAGCCCGGGATCCCGCAAGATCCGCCGCCCTGACTGGCCCCCCTTTGCATTGACCGAGGCCCCATCCCCGAGCACGCCCGATGCGACGGCTCGCTCGAACAAAACAAAACAAAAACAGCGCCGCGGAGCGCGCGCGCGCGCTCGCCTGGAGGCGCGGCCAGAGAACTACCTCGTGCCGCCCAGGCTGTCTGCGCCCGTCTCCTGGCTCGAGGGGGAGGAGGAGGAGGACAAGGAGGATGAGGAGGAGGGGGATGAGGGGGAGGAGGAAGATAATGATCGAGTGGCTTCACCTTTTCCGTCCTCCTTAGGGGGCGGACGGAACCCAATCTACTTTCAACGCCTACCTACTCCGACCGATGGGTATGGATGCGAGGCTGGTTAGGGGAGCCGCTCCAGGGGAACTTCGCGTCCGCACCGGCCCGCCGCCGGCGTTCAATGTTGAACGCCGCTATCGACCTGGAATCGATCGATGTTGAACGATCGGACGTTGCGGGGACGACCGATCGTGTAAGGTTGAGAGATCCAGCGCGGTGTCGGGAACCACAAATTACCGATGTTGCAACCAACCCTCCCTCCAAGTTCGCTCTTCGTAAATGCCTACAATACTTTATCGTCAATGCGGGAAACGCTCATCGGACAACTAAATGGCATGAGAAACCTTATCGTCCCAAAGCATCATTCCATGAACACGACGCCGAGATTTAATCTGGCAGCCCCAAATCTTGCCAGAACACCGTTCCTGGGACATCAGCGAACCAGCGTGACTGTTGCAATCTCACAGCCCCGAATCGTGCCAAAACACAATTCCTGGCACTTTCTCCACGCGAATGCATGAGACAAGGCTGCGAACTTGCGTGGCTAATGCGCCCAGAGCTACAACGAAACCACATGTTGAAAAAGAGCCGCCGTCCATCTTTAAAATTGTGGCAAACGGTTAAAACGACGACGCGCCACGCCAACGGAAAATCCCTTTTGAATGCTGACCGCCTCTTACCTTTGAAGCTGTTGCGAATTTCAAGACTGGCTGAGCGCAGCGCTGAGGCGAGAACCACATTTGAAAAATAACCACTCCATCTTTGAAACTGTAACAAACTTCAGAAAACGAATTGGGCAACACTACAACGAAACCTGCACTGTGAAAACAAGCCGCCCTCCAACCGTGAAGCCGCGAAAGATTTCAAACCTCGCGATCGGAAGTGGCGAAGCCGTCTCAGTCGGAACGCACGGCCAGCCCTACCGACGCGTCTGGGTGCGCGCAAGGGAAAACAGCTGCGCACTCCTAAGAAAGCGGGATGGAGGAAACACCACCAGATCGATCCGAGTGCGCAGAGCCACGGAAAAGAGAGAGCACGAGCGGGAAAAGGGCGAGTACGCACAACTCGACGACTCAACGAAGGAGGAGGAGGAGGAAGAGGAGGAGGAAGAGGGAATGGGGAGGAAGAGGAGGAGGAAGAGGGAAGGGGGAGGAAGAGGAGGAAGGGGATGAAGAGAAGGAGGACTTTTTCTCCCAGGGGAGGAGGAGGAGGCCGCCGATCCTTCGACGACGGGGGGGGCCTTCGAGGGAGGGCGAGGCCCGCCGTGAACGGGTCGTACGTGTGAGTGGCCCCAGCACCACCCCACAGTCCGTCCCAAGGCACCCCTGCCGTAGATGAGATGTCATATCGGGGAGACGTACGACTCGGGTACAGGGGACTCGGGTTGGCCCGACGGGGCCATCATGAAAATGACGAGGCCCAGTCTGAAACTTGACGCGAGCTCCCGCTGCAGACATCCCACGAAAACTGGACCGTCAAAATCCAGGACGCGCTCGTCAAAAAAACGTCGGCAAACCCGAGTTCCGGCTTACTCGGGTCTTGCGTTCCCCGGATCATAGGCCAGAGATGAACTGCGCGCATCGGAAGCAGGTTCGACTTCCCAGTGTACGCAGTTTGTTGGGAAGCAGCTTCGACTTCCCAGTGCACGCAGTTTTTCTGGAAGCAGCTTCGACTTCCCAGTGCGCGCAGTTCCTCTCAGGCAAAGATGAGTGGCCCCAACAGCACCCCATAAGCTGTCCCAAGACACACCTGCCGCAGATGTCATAGGCACCAAGGAGATCGAGGGAGCCTCCGTACCCCCAGTACAGGAAGCCCTCGGTACTGCGAAACACCAGACGTTAGCCCGCACGAAGACCAAGCCAAACGGCCAAACGACTTCGGAGGGCCTGTAGGAGGGGGAGGCAATCCCGCCGCAACTACGATGCTGTCCATCTCACTGTACATGGTAAAGTCTCCACGACAGCCGCCCGATCCGCCTCAATCATCATCTTCTCCACCAACATGCCGCCCCACTGCGGCGCACTAGAGGTGTTGCCACACTCGTGGATGTCCATCTGGTCCGCTTCCGCACGCTCACCGTCGGCGTACACCTCCAAATAGACAACGCCCTCGCGAACTCCAGATAGTCTCCAACACGCCCAATCCAGGGGCCGCCAAGGAAAATGGCGAACCGATCCACGAACAACACCTAGGGCCGATCGTGGTACCGGCAGAGCTCCGCGAGCGGCGGCGAAGCGAGGGCCCACCTGGCACGCGTCGCTCAGCTGGACGGCCTATCACTGGCCATCGCTCGGACGTCCATTCCCTATGCTTTTTTCGGTTTCGTGCGTGGTTTTTTCGCCAACTGATCAAGGATGCTCCTCGATGGTCCTCGCCGAAGGACAAATGCACACGTCCGAGCGATGCCAAGATCATAGCACCGCCGAAAGGATGCGCGAACACCTGGCCTGGACGGGCTGGCAGTCGACCCCGACCAGGCCGTGGAAGTGGTGGCACGCAGGGCTCGATCTCGTGGTCTCGCTCGTGCCAGAGACGAGGGACTAGCGGCGGCCCAAGGCACTGGCCCACGTCTTGCGCGGAGCCTGGCGCACGCAGATATGGATGTGGGTGGACTCCAGGCGGATGCTGCGGCGCGACGCGAGGCTGATGGCAGGAGTCAGGTACGAGGACGAAGCGAAGAGCCTGAAAACCATCCACGACATGGTGCAGTACCTGTCCAGCCCAACGGTCCGTGTCCTCACTAGCGCGATGGTGAGCCCGCTGTGCAGGGCCAAGATGAGGGAACCGGATACGGATCCGCGCTGCCACTGATGTGGCGCCGAGCACGGCTCACCAACACACGTCATCTGGGAATGCCCGTCAGACGTCTTTCGAGACCGACCGACCGGGTACGGGCCCGCCGCCGCCTTGCAGCGGCGGCTCCTGTGGCCGCCGGGCCGCAAGGAGCGGAAAGACATCCACCGCCACCTCCTCAAGTGGGCTGTTGAACTGGACAAGATCATCCTCCATGACAGGCACAATCTCCAACGAGGTGCCGCTGTCCAGCGCCGCCCTCCACCCGCCACACCTTATGGCTGCGCAGGGGGCAGCGGTGTTGCAGAGGAGGCAGGGGCAGCTGAGGAAAAGGAAGGTAGAGGAGGAGGAGGAGGAGGAGGAGGAGGAGGAGGAGGAGGAGGAGGAGGAGGAGGAGGAGAAGGAGGAGGAGGAGGAGGAGGAGGAGGAGGAGGACGAGGAGGGAGGGGCGACCGGCGCGGAGGCCGCAGCGCAAAGCTTCCCAGCTCCCAGCCACCCTGAGGAGGAGTAGGGGGAGGAGGAGGAGGAAGAGGAGAAGGAGGAAAAAGAGGAGGAAGAGGAGGAGGAGACGGAGGAGGAGGAGGAGGAGGAGGAGGAGGAGGAGGAGGAGGAGGAGGAGGAGGAGGAAAAGGGCCGAGGATGATGATGAGGAGGAGGAGGAGGCCGGCGAATTTGCCTTCCTCGTCGTCGCCTTCGTCGCTTCCGCTGTTTGCGTCGGGTACCCATCGTGTAGGCACTGCTTTGCGAAATCTTAGGGTTGTCGCTCTCCCCCGCCTGTCCCCAGAAAAATATTGCTGCGCTTACGGGCTGCTCAATGCAGCAAAATATTTTGCCTGCGCGCTCCGAATCATGTATGTTCAAGCCTGGCTCTCAATTTTAGGGGTCAACGCGTGAATTCATGTTCGCCGCGGCCAGACGCCCAAGACGGATGCGCCAGAATACTGCGACCGATGGGCTCCGTCAGGGCGAAAGTGGGTCTTCTGAGGTGCCCAGGGCGACGAAGTTATCAACGCACTGGGCATGTAACGCCTGACTAGACGAACGAACCAGGCGGACAGGAAGATAAACATAATCGAAAGCTCAGCTCGGGGAGGCTAGTGCGTTGGCGAGGGCTCGAAGCTCCATGATCCGCTGGCGTATCCAGAGACTGTGCTTCCAGCTCGTGGGGGTGGCGGTAAAGCGCGGCGTCGGCCAATTACGAACCCGTAGGTGGCGCCCTTCGCCGTCGGTGGCAAAGCCCAGGGCCCCAACCCGCATCCGCGGAAGTCCAAATGCTGCCGGAACGCCGGGGGTAGCTGAATACCATAGAAATCGTTTTCAATATCAGTCCCCCCACGTCGACAGGATCCCACCCCCCATAGCTGAGAACGCCGAGCCCGTGGCCCAGTCGACGCGGGGGGATCCTCGAAGTGCTCTCCAGCCTGCCGTCCGTCGAAGATGAGTCGGGGGTCTGCGTTCGTCTTCGCAGCTGAAAACATCCAACTTGAGACGTGCACACTCGCTGCGACGAGACAGGGTTCGAGGCCTTGAGGCGGTGAAGAAGCTGCGCGTAAAACCGAAACTGAGAACGGAGATAAGGATCATATTAGGCTCGGGTAGTAGAACAATATCTATCTGCATTAGCTGAATCACGACGTTGTGGCGGATTCCGCTCGTCAGCTATAGCGTCGTCAACCGAACCGCTCAGGTGCGCAATTCCCGTGGGCGACCACCCGCCAGGGGGGCAACTCGGTCTATGTTAGCCTCGTTGATGGGACCCACGGCGCTGCCTACCCGAGAGTTGCCCGAGTTGATACTGAGCTCTCGTAAGGCCCTTGCGGAGGTGAAGTCTTCGGGTGTCTTGCCGAAGCGGCGAACAGATCGGTGGGTGTGATCTAGGCGCGCATCCTGGGCAACTAACTGATGTCAAATGATCGCTCCCCAACGTCGCGCGAACCGTAAAGCTCATTCAGAACTGACACCGCCTCGGAGATCAGGGTCGCTGTCTGGCGGTGAACCTCGAATCTTCTATGAGCGTTGCGGGGGGCGGCGGCCCTGCGGGGGTCGGAGGAGGCCGGCATAGGGATGGGACAAGGGTCGCGAGGGTACGCCCTC